AAGCTTCAAATTATAACGAACAAACACAAGGGCATTCAACCTTTCATGCTCTAGCCTGTTCCTCTTCTTGGAATGAATAAAATCAAAAGCACTCCAATTCCTTTCACATCCAGTTGCACTTGTGCATTGGCTAAGCACTCGAATTGCAAACTTTTGCAATTCGAGTGCATCCGTTCCAAATTGATCCCACCATGCAACTATAAAAACAATAAAATACAATGTGCAGTGAAATAAGTAAAATAAAAACTTTTTAAACAAAATGAAAATAGAGCTAAGATGAAAGAAAATTACCTGGATTTAACTTTTCTCTCTGACGAATAGCCAAACTCATGCCAAAGGTCCCTGTAGCTTTTTTATACTCCTCAAGTTGTGAACTAATGAGATCTTGCTTATCCTCATCCGATATCAATGTTGTTAAAGTATTAAGCAAACCTCTCGTAACAGTAGTTTGTTTGTTGAAGCTAGGTTTAAAGTAGATACTTGGATTAAGAAAGCAACCAGCTGCATGTAATGGGCTATAAAGTTGCTTATCCAATCTAGCATCAATCACATTAATATAAGGCATGTAGTGAGACAACCTATTATTAAAATTCTTTTTTATTGTCTCCTTTGCCTTATCAATTGCCTCATACAAGTAGCCCATGCTTGGCTTCTCTTCATTATCCACAAGTCGAAGCACTCTCACCAAAGGTTCATTGATTTTGACAACTACTATGCAATTAGACCAAAATTCTTTATCTTCCAAGACAATTTCACATATTTCTTTCCCAACACTACTTCTTGCATACCGAGAACCAACCCATGCATCACTTGTAAACATTTGTCTAAGTTCCTTCTTAAATTTCAACAAACATTAGATGCTCAAAAAGTGAGTAGCAAATCTCGTAACAGCAGGACGACACAAATCTCTCCCATTTGTGTAGTCTCTCCTCATTAATGCTAGCACCCATGAATGATTATATATGAACTTTGTGACTTTTCTTGCCTTTCCTATAGTAGTATCAATCACAGGAAAGTATCTTGCATCAAAAAAATTTTCTAACATCAAGTCAATACAATGGGCAGCACAAGGAGACCAAAAAAATGTGTTGTACTTTGCTTCCAACCTTTTCCCAGCAGCTTTGTATGAGGCATCATTGTCTGTTATAAATTGTACAACATTCTCCACTCCTACTTCTTTCACCACTTCATCAAACATCCTCTCCAATGTTTCAGCATCCTTTGTCAAACCAGAAGTGTCAATGGACTTCAAAAACATACTTCCTCTAGGACGATAAACAAGGAAATTGATTATTGGTTGTTGTCTTTGATTTGTCCATCCATCAGCCATAATTGAACAACCATTAGTACTCCATGTTGACTTCAAGGATAAAAGCCATTCATTAACCTCCTTTACTGCACATTTTAAGAGAGGACCCCTCAAATCATGATAACCTGGTCCCTTGAAACCTGGTCCCATAGATGTGATAGCATCCCACATTGGCAAATAGTATTTTGATCGTGCAGCATGGAAAGGCACATTAGCATCATACCACCATCTAGCAATAGCCATCCTAGCAGCTTCTTGTTTTTCTTTTGATTGCAAAGCACTTTTTATAGTTTTCTATGCTCTAGGAGTTGTTCTTGGTACAAAATAGGAATTAATATTCCTTTTTTGTTGTGCTACCTGTGATTGAGATTGAGGGATCTCTTCAATTTCATCATTTTCTTCAACAAATGTTTGTGATCCACATTGACTCCCAACCATATCTCCAAGTCTCTTTCTCTTTCTCTTTTCTTTCCCTTTCCTTGCCTCACTTAACAACTGTTGCATTTGCCATTTTACATCTACTGAAACTTTTTTGCATGCACCAACATTGCCTTTAATTCGAGCAAGGTGTTCTTTCAGTCTAGTAATTCCACCCCCTTGTATAAGCTTATCACGATATAAACATTTTGTTTGATTCCTCTTGCCTGGGACAATCAAACAATGCGCCCAAGCAGGATCATCTGTTTTAGAAGGGACAGATCCAATAGAATCACCAGTAGCAGTCCCTGAACCACTAGTATTCATAATTATATCCTACAAAAACAACCACTGAGGAAAAAAACAAATAATTACACAACAAAAATTAAATGAAAAATATCATAACAACCTTAAACCATAGATTTGAAACTGATATCCTACAAAGACAACCAAAAAAATTAACAGTTGGCATTCATGATTCAACACTCAACAGTCAGCAGCCGGCATTCAACCAAAAAAATTTAGAATAGCTAACATTGTCTGCTGGAAATGCCTAAATACCAAGAGGTCCAAGAGGACCAAGACACGAATTTTTTTTTATATATACACGGGCAAGGGATTATGCAGCCAGCAGCAGTATGCAACCAAAAATTAAAGGCAACATAGCCAAAATCAGATTCTGGTAGATGCAATCAATTGCACGAAATGAGATCCAAATCTCCAATCCATATCTAGAATAGCTAACATTGTCTGCTGGAAATGCCTAAATACCAAGGTCCAAGACACGAATTTTTTTTTTTTTATACACGGCAGGGGACTATGCACTATGCAGCCAGTAGTATGCATACCAACAGAAAGAGTAACCTCGGAATGAAAATGTGAAGATACCTGAGATGGAGCTGGGCTGCTGGAGAGTGGAGGAAGAGAGAGTATTGGCTGGATCTGGACCGCCGGCAGCGGCTGGAGTTGGCTGGACCACCTGCGCCTCAACGACCTTTGGATGCTGGAGAACAGAGGAGAGGCGCGATCTGAAAGTGCAAGGTTTAATGAAGAAGCTTAAGGAGATAGAGCAACGGCTAGAGGCTGGAGGCTGGAGTTGGAGAACAGAGGAGAGATCGAGCTGGGCTGCTGGAGAAAATAGGAGAGGCACGATTGAAATTGCAGGGCTAAGTGAGGAAGCCACCCCCAAACCAAAACGACGTCGTTTTGGGCTGGGGATTCTTTTTTTTTTTTTTTTTTCCTGCTTGCATAATGTACCGGTCAAATTTCGGTGTACCGACCGGTACCCGAAATTTCGGCCGGTACACTGAAATTTAACCGGTACGGTCGAAATTTGACCGAAACGAAATTTTAACTTATTTCGTTTCGGTTAACACGCAAAACCGGTACGTACCGGCCGTACCAGCCGGTACGAAACGGTACGGACTACATTGGATATTTCTTAAAAGATAAATATGATTTAAATATGATGATTAGTTAGAAAACAAAACGCTTTTATATTAATTTATTTGAAGAGACTAAAATAAACGAGAGAGAGACCTCAGATAGAGTATTAATTAAGTGGCTACTAACTAATTACTATGTAAAAGAACAAAATATGAAAATGAGAAATCTAACCAAGTGCTTAAAAAAGAAAAAACTAATAATATGATAATGAAAATCTAAAAAGAATTAATGAAGAAAATATAAACTAAATCTAATAATATGGTCATGATTTAATCTATAACAAGTACTGAGATATATATGAAAAAAAAAGTAATATAGATAGATAGTGTACTTACAATGCAAGATTAGCAGAAGAAATAGGTAAAGTTGGACACTGATAACCAACTTGGGTCTTGCAAAGCAAATTGTTAGAAGTAGCGGCAGATTCAATTTCTGATGCGAGGAGTTGATGAGCCAACTAAGGAGAAGAAACAACTTAAATAAGCACTAGGCAATAGCAGGGTGCATTTCCTGGAAGCTGCTTAGCAAATTTAAGTGAAATCAACGAGAGATTCTTGTTGTTTAAAAAAAAAAAAAAGACTTGAAAGATGGATGTGTAAAATACATGAAAACAAGTATTATTTCACACCCAACCCATATAAATATTTTAAATTAAATTACTGACATCTAGGTTTTTGTAAAAAAAAAAAATTGAAGTATAAAGCTTTTTTTTCTTTTATATTAGACAGTAAAAATTATTTGAGAAAGATTAGGATTATTTATATGTTCTTCAAATTTAACGAAGTTACTTAAAATTTGAGGTTTAAATTGATACCAAAAAATCAATAGGTTAAAATAAATAAGTATTTAAAGGATTTAAAGATACCTTAAAAGCGCAGTGGGACTGATGCCGAGATAATTAGAATTTTGTGTGAATATATGCTGAAAATCACAGAGTGTGGACCCCTTAACAGCATGTGTCTGCTCCGCCCATCAATCTACAAAAAGAGAGTCCGTGTCAGGATTTTGGACTAAGAAGCAATTTTGTTTTTTCATGGGTAAAATTTTGCTGGTCTCTCAACTTTTACTTTTTCTGCACTTTGATCTTTACACGTTTTATTTATTCATCTGGGTCCTTGACTTCATCTTTCTCTTTTTCAAATTTTTCTTCTCCAATTCAATCCTAATATTTCTGATTTCTTCCAAAAGGAAAAATTAACACAATAATATATAGAAGAATTCAA